ACCCAAAGGGCCCCAAATTTCTGATGAAGCACCAAAATGACCTTCAGCTGGTGGAAAACAGCCCTTTTTTAATGTTCTGTCCAACCCCAACACCCATTCCTCTGCCCTTTTCTCCTCTGAATTAACACACTTCTCATTTCCAGCCCCGTGTCTCATTAAACTCAGCTGCAGTGCAGGGGGAGTGAGCAGATGTGATAATGGCTCTCGTAAACAAATGCAATTATTTATGGGGAGCTGCTGCTGCCAGAGCCCATGTCTCCCTCAAATTGGGTCTAAAGAGATGCTTCAGCCTCTCCAAAGCCTCTCCAACATTTTTGCAGAGATGTTACTCATGGTAATTGCCATGAAAGCACTAATCCCTGCCCAAAATACCTCCTGGGCTAGAAAACAGCCAACCCCCTTGGTCCTTAGTGCTCTCTGTGCCTCAGCAGTCATTGACAGGCTGATTAGGAATTTCCCTCTCTGTTTTGGAGGGAAAAAAGCAAGAAATGGAGCAGGGGAAGGTCATCAAAGGCAGGTTTTGGTGCAGGGTGGTGACTTTCTCCTGCAAACCCCCCCTGCACCGCTCCCCCAGTCCTAGGTTCTTTGGGAGAAGCACGGCTGGGTACTCACCTGGTCCTGCCAGGGGGGGTCAGGAACCTGTCCCCCAGCTCAGAGAGCCACCACTGCTGCTGCCTGCGACTTTCTCCTGTGAGGTGACACCCTGGTGTCTCAGCACAGCTGCCAGCCCACGGCTGGTGATGCTCTCCCCGAGTTGCACAACGCTCCCATCCCTCAGGAGATGCAGCTCCTGGAAGCAGAGCCAGCCAGGCAGTGTTATCTGATTTCTGCAACTGGCCTGGGTCTAATTAAAGGTATTTTGCTGGGGTTTAGAGTTGCAAAAGAATTGAGGGCACATAGGAATTATGGCACAGGTGTGGTGTAAAGATGGGGTGTGTCATGGGCAGTGTGACCAGAAACTCAAGGGGGTTCAGTGATATCCCATGGTCCCTTCCCACTGCCCCTTTTCCTGGTGGAAAGCACTCCAGCTCAATACAAGGTATTTTTGCAGCACTTTGGAATTATATTCTACTTGTTATATATTTTCACAACACTTAAAATTCTTTAATTTGATTTTTTGTAGGATTTTTCTCCATTAGTTTTAAGGACTGTGAAGTTTCCAGCAGCTCTGCATGTGCCTTACATCCCAGCTCTGCTCCTGATGTCCAGGCACACCATCCCATCATCCCCAGGTCCGTGAAGGATGGCTGGGAGCAGGGTGCTGCTTGCTGGGCTATTTTTACAACAAAGTGGGAGTTGCAAAAAACTGGGAGTAACACCTACACTGTTTGTGTCTCCTCTTGTTCTTATCTCTATTTCACAGTCAGTATGTTTCACAACTTAAAATATGCCTCAAAAATTAAGGGGGGAAAAGTTACCAGCAGCGTGCTTCCATCTCCCTTGCAGAACAGGAGATCCGCAGGGATCAGCTCCCTGCCAGCAGCACGTTCCCAAATCCTGCAGCAGGGGGGATAAAAATCCTCTGGTGGGTATCACCCGGAGAAGAAGGCAGGTGCAGGATGCTGGAGCAGTGCAGGATGGATAATTTGGGAAGCAGTTCAATCCATGGGACCCTCCGAGCCGTGAGCAGGGTCCCGGCAATCCCGGCCCACGGGCTCTGCACACCCACCATGGCCACAGGAATGAGGGATTTTCTCACAGCACCAGTGAGCAGCTTCTGGGCTCTGCCCTCCTGGCCGGGAGCCTGAATGTGAAGCAATTTGTCTGCCAAATGTCCGTATTTAAACTCTGTGTAATTATTCCCCAGAAGCGCGTTCCCACGTGGAGCAGCAGCAGCCCTCGCCGAGCCTTCTCTGACTCAGCAGAAATCGCTGGAAAAACGTCTGCTCAGGGATGGAAATCTGCAGTGAACGGGCAAAGGGGCAGGCACAGAGGTGTGCAGTTTGGGATGAGGCAGGTGGAGCTTGGTCCTGTGCAGGGATGTTTGCACTGCAGGGCTGAGCAGCAGGTTGGGCTGCTGGGGGCTGCTGGATGCAGCCGAGCGCCCAGGAAAGGCTTTTGGAAAGGGCAAAACAAAACGCCTGACAGAGGCAAAGAGGACAGAATGGATATTAAAAAGGTGATAGACAAAGGATACAAAGGGGAAAAGGGCTTTGGGTGTCAGGGAGAAGCTGGGGGCTGGCTGCAGGGGTGTTAGTGTGTGTCAGGAATGCAGAATATGCCCTCGAGGGACTGGGATGGGATTGGAGGCAGATTTTCAGGAAGATGCTGTGTAAACATCTTCTGGCCCTTTTCAGGTAAACCACAGGTGGTTACTCAGAGGGTTTTAGACCTTTGCTTGTAGCACAAGTCAGGATTAAACATAGGAAGGAAGAGAGAACAAGGAAGTGGTGCCCTCAACCACAAGGAGAGCCCAGGCAGGCATCAGACATCTCAGAGCAGATCTGCCACCCACGTTGGTGCTGACTCACACGAGCTGCTGAGCTGACCTTGGGTTTTATTAGACACCTTCACTTCTGCTGTGCCTCCCCAGTGCTGCTGGCCCTCCAGAAAACCCGAGTTTAGAGGCAAGCATTTAAGGGGTGTAACTTTCCTGCCTTCAAGCTCCCACCACCACCAGCTGGAGTAGCACATTTTTTCGTGCCATGGCTGTGTGGATTCATCTTTTTCCCACCTTTTTGCCAGCTCACCCAGCTCAGTGTCCTTCCCTGCTCTACCAGACCCACTGATTTTGACAAGCAGCACCCACAGAGTCAAACTGCTCAGCTGCAGGAAGAGGAAGCGAGGTGAAGCCTGCAGCAGAGCCAGAGTGATTAATGGGGCACTGCTCTCAGAACAGCTTGGTTTGTGATATTAATAACGAGAGAATTCAGGAGGGAACCTAACCTGCTCCAAGCTGTGGAGCCAGCAGCAGCAGGAGATGCAGGGGGGAAGCTCCTGTGCTGGTATTTGTAAAACAGGAGGAATTGAGTGGGCTCGGAGGGTGTGATGCTGAGCTGGGTGTGGGGGTTGGGATGTGCTTCCACCTTGGAGGATTCATTCCTAACCTGTCTGAAATGCAAAAAAAAAAAAAAAAAAAAAAAACCAAGAACCATTTAGTGGTAAATGCATCATGATGTAATCATGAAGCATACATATTCATCAAAAATTACTTAAGCTTGAGACTGGTGAATTAAACAGGGGAAAAATTGTTTATCCCACAAGGGAAGAAGACAGGGAAAAGGAAATATTTAGTGGGAATGAATTTGCTTACAGGGTGAGAATAATTATATGTGATGTTTCACATTTTCTTCCTAAGCATTCATGTCTGGTGATGGTGAGGGATGGGATACAGGCCTGGCAGACACCTGGCACCACTTCACAGTGAGCACTGGGGAAGGAAAGAAGGAACCTGAAACCTGACTAATAACAGCACATAAACAGTTCAGAAAGTCAAAATGTTTGGGGCATGGCAGCTGCAGAAAGCAGAGCAGAGCTGCCCATGCTGCTGAGCTTGAAGGGGATTTGGAAGCCAATGGAATTTTGTTCATCCCATGGCATAGCTGTGCAGCTGGAGTGAGGAGAGAGCACATCCTCTGTGCCACTGGTCCTTGACAGCTGGTCCAGCACAGCCCTGGAGAGCAGCTGAACCTGCAGCATCCTTAGGGACACTCTGCTGGCAACACAGGTTCCTCCAACAAGCCCCTTGTGCCAAGTCCTGAGGAAAAAAAAAATCTTTCCAGCTCTGGGAAAAAGGAAAGCCAGAAGAAGAAGAGTGTCCAGATCAACCTGCCCTGGGGTCATTTATCAAAGCAGGCTCTGCCTGGGTGGTTTGGGAACATTCCCACAGGCCAGGCTGCAGAAGGCAGCTGCTGTGCCCATTTTGCTGCTGGTATCTGGCACCAGAACGTGCTGGTCCTGTGAAGCTCCCAGGAGACATTGCATTCCAGGGATGACCTCAGGAAGGATGAGTTCCTGGGCAGCAGAACACCTGCAGTGCTGGTCAAACCCTGTGGGTGCAAGGAAAGCCCTTCCCTCAGGAGTGAGACCTTGCAGCCCTGGGCAGGGTAAACCCAGGTTTGCCTGGGGCAGGCTGTGGTGCAAGCACAGGTGATTTCCTCTGCCAGATGAGTTCAAGTCCTGAGGTCAGGGCTAAAGTGCTGACTTTTGGCACTTTGCATTTCTTGCCTTAAATTCTGGAGCTGCTCACCACACTCACAGAGACTGAAATCCCTTTCTTCCTTGTCCACAGCAAGTTCTACCTGGAGAATATCCAGCTTCCACATCAGGAAGGTGTTCCTGGCTGGAAGGGGTGGCTGATCCAGTTTGAATTGATTTCAGCTCTCTCCACAGCTGCCTCTGCAATGCTTTGCCATGTAGAACCCGCATTTTGCACAGTAGATCCTTTCAGAAGTGTGGAGTTCCAGACTCCCTGGATGGAGATGTGGATATATAAAGCATTCCTACATCATCTGACTTCTTATGGCCTAAGCAGACAGAGTGGTGACACAGTTTAGAGAGGGATGGAGACAACAGCTAATTAAAGTTTGGAAGCCAAACTGCTTGATTTGTTTTGAGCTCTTGGACTCCTCAGATTACTCCAGGTGTGAGCCAGGTCTGGCATTAGGTGAGCAGATGGGTTTTATGACTCCCTGGATGCATAGAGGCAGATTAAGGAGGGAAGCTCTGCAAGAAGGAGCATGACTTGTGCCTGGCTCCCACATCTGTTGGCTCCAGCGAGTCCTCTGTGGAATCTGGAGCAGAGTGGACTCCTCCTTAAGTAAGGGATGGTGGAAATGCAAAAGCACACCCCAAAACGCCACCCAGGAGCAGTTGGGGAGCATCTGGAGGGATAGAACTCAGCTGGCAGAATTCCTGTGGTGGATTATCACTAAACTGCCAGCTTTTCATTGTGGAAAATGGGTTGTATCTCTCAGCAGAAAAACCCCAGCCTGGGAAAGGGAGACAAAAAAGATTGTCTAGCTGTTGAATTAAATCTGTACCCTCGATTTACACCCCGAATGCTGCTGGGAAGCCCCCACTACGGGATTAGCTGTGGAGCTGTGGGTGATGGGATGGACCTGGGCACGTCCTTGCTGTGTCTGCCAGGAGCCCCCAGCCCCGCTGGGAGCAGGCACCGGCAGCCGCCCGGCACCGGCCTGAGCTGCATCCCCGCAGAAAATCAGGTCGTTTGGGGACAGTCGGAAAACTTCTGGAAATCTGGGTGAAAAAGGCAGTATCTCCAAATAAGGTGGGAATGAGGAATGCCATCGGATCGGCTCCCGGCTCTCCAGCGGGCGTGCAGGGACCTCTTGTGGCAGCTGCGCCCGGGAGTTCCCGTCCCTGCTCTTCCCTTCGGGTTCTTTTGGGACAAGCCTGGCCCCCGAGCCTGTGGCGTGTGGTTGAATTTTTGGCCTGATCTGGTGTCAGGGGACTTGTTTGTAACTGGGCTTGGATGTCTGCAGTTCCAAAACCGCCCCCGGTTAATGCCATTGCTGCAGAGGAAGGAAAAGGCTGGAATCGGGGTTCTAAGAAACTACGGCTCAATGGGAAGTAAAATTAAATAAAATCTGGGCTAAAATGACACAAAAAGTAGTTTATATGTAACTGTTGGTAGTGCTCTAGCAATGGGATCAAAGTCCTTGAACCAGAGGCTCAATTAATCACGGCTTAAATTCCTCCCATGCAGAAGTGGTAGGTAAAAGCTCTCCAGCCTCCAGAAACATTTTAACTATTCCTGTCCCCTAACCCTGAATGTTCATCTTTAGGATAAACACAAATGGAGGAGCCCCTGGGGAAACAGGGCTGGACCTGCAGGCATTCCACAGTCTGGGATATTCTCTGCAGGAAGGTGAAGGGATGAATTGTCACCAGGGAAAAGGGCAGTCAAGATTTTTTTGAGGCTAAACCACCGCAGAAGACTTCTCATTCGGAAACCGGCTCTGTGCAATTTTATACTCAATTAATTGTTAAATGATTTTTCTCCTCAGTGCCCTGAGCAGCCCAGCACGTCTCCAAGGCATGTCTCTCTTTCCTCAGCACATCTTATGCTGAACAAAAATGTCTTTGCATTTGGTCTTCTCAGTAACAGATTAGCCTGTGTGATCCTTGCACTCCTAATACACGAGATTATTTAAAATCCCCTGGGCACTCAGGGCTGCCTATTACTTCAGGCACTGTCTCCCTGCCACGTAACTGTTATGAAAGTACATTGTCTTGCCTGGCTTTTAAACAAATTTGTGCAGCATGAACAGATGCCTTTCTATCAGTTGGGACCATCACAGAAACACAGAATCGTTTAGGCTGGAAAAGAACCTCACCAGCCTCCCAATTAGATTTAATCACTCAGCCTCCTTTCATCAGTGTGTGTTTGATGTTTTTGTGTCCATCACCCCAAAGCCAGGACAGCAACTAACCAGTTGGGACCATCATAGAAACACAGAATCGTTTAGGTTGGAAAAGAACCTCACCCGCCTCCCAATTTGATTTAATCACTCAGCCTCCCTTTCATCAGTGTGTGTTTGATGTTTTTGTGTCCATCACCCCAAAGCCAGGACAGCAACTAAGAGCTCAGGCTCCACACGCTTCTGTTTCAGCCAAGAGGAAGTGGAAGTTTTCATCCAAAATTAATACCTCAAAGCAGAGGTGGAGTTTGACATTAATCGGTGTGTACACGGTGACTCAGCCCGGCGGCAGAAGGGGAAGCGAGGGCTGTGCAGCAGCTTCTGCTGGAGACATCAAAAGGCAACAAGGGAGCGATCAAATTACGGGAAGCTGGAAAAGCAGCGTAGTTGTACGGTAGAACTAAAATTGTGGCTACGGGATTGTGACTTTCCACAACCTCCAGACAGGGGAGCTGGGGTATCCCAGACATCGGGGAGCTCCTGTCGGGACCAGACATGGGACAGGGGGATGCGGGATAACAGTGCTGTGGGCAGAGCAGTTTTAGGCAAGGCAATCAGGTCTTTTTCCGTGCTTGATGTGCGATCAGCCCAGGTGGTGTGGTGTGGTCTGGGGGGTCTTGACCCGGGGTGAGCGGCTTGGAGAAGTCCTGCCCAAGGAAACAGTGCCGGGCATCACCTGCCGGGCAGGCTTTGGAGTGAAGGACCACCGGCCGCAGCACCTCACGGGAGAGGTGTTCGGCCACCAGATGCCTCCAAGGTGGAAGAGGAGACTTCGGGGGACGACGGAAGCGCCCCAGTTCCCGCACAGCGACGGGACACGCGTTCCCCGCTCCGTGCCACGCTCTTAGCCCGCTCCGGACTGGCGCCGCTTCTGCCGTGCGGTGCCGGGGAAGGCGGGTACATCCCGGGGGCTCAGCTCCCGTTCTCCCGCTCCCCGCGTCCCACGGCCCGACGGGGAGCGCTGCCCTGCGCGGGGGATGCGGGAGCTGCCAGCCCCAGCCCCGGGGCAGCCCCGGCCCTTCCCCCGGGGGTGATGCCGGCTGTGCCCCGCCCGGGCGATGCGCGTAGCGGCCGGGCAGGGCGGTACCGGCGGGGCGGTGCCGGTGCCCAGGGCGGGCCCCGGGGCTGGGCGAGGCGGGGCCCGGCGGGCAGCGAGACCGGTCCCATGGGAGCCCGGCGGGCCGGTGGACGCCCATGGCTTTCAGCCCGGGGCTGCTGGTGGTGGCCGGTTCGTTCGCCGCTTTCCGCCTGCTGAACCGGGGGCTGGAGCGGCTGGTGCCGCCGCCGCCCTCGGCCCGGCGCAACCGCTGGAAGTGGCGCAACATCTGGACATCGCTGGCGCACAGCGTGCTCAGCGGCGGCGGGGCGCTGGCCGGGTGAGCGGCACCGCGGGGCCCCGCGGGGACACCGGGCTGCCCGGCGGGACCGGGACTCTGGGAGGGAATGGGGACGTCGAGGGAGCCCGACGGGGACCTGCGGCCAAAGGGGTGCTAAAGGAGTGTTGGGGACCCTGGAGAGTGTGAGGAGCTGCAGACTGAGGGCACTGAGAGAGGGAGGAAGGACCGAAGGACCAGGAATGGGGAGACTCCAGGGAAAACAGGAGGAGAGGGGTGGCTGTGGGTGGAACAGGGCAACAGGAGGTCTCCGGGGAGGGTCGGCAGCACCAGGTGCGTGCTGAGGACACCGGCAGGGGAATGGGGAACCGGAGGCACTGCCCGACACTCACAGCCTCTCTCCCGTCAGGTTCTACCTCCACCCCGAGATGTCCAACGACCTGGTGGGCACACACCCGCCCGGGGCGCACAGCCTGGTGGCCGTGTCTGTAGGTGAGGTGTGGCGATGGCCTGTCCCCTGTTCCGTCCCCCGGGGGTCTTCACGGGCTCGGCGGTGCCTGACACCAGCCCCTCGAGCCATGTCGCGATGTCTCAGGCACCTCAAACAATCGCCCTATTCTTGGCAAAGGACAGTGGCTCCTTTCTGTCCCACGGCAGCCGCAGCCAGGAGGTACTGGGCACCGGGCTGCCCTCCGAGGGAGCCGGGGCTCGGGGCATCCCAAAAGTGCCCACATGGGGTTGGAGGAGTCAGTCGGTGCCTCTTCCTGGGAGCACATCCTACAGAGTGATTGCAAGAAGGACACGAAGCACCCCAGTTTCCTTCTTTTGCTGTGTGTGGCTCCCCAGCACACAGATGTAACCAGCACTTCCCGGGGGGCTGCCCGGCCCACTCAGGTGCAGAGCCCGCTGGGGCAGGGGGGATTTGTTGGCACAGCCCTTCCTGACCCCCTTGTTGTTCATGGCCTCCCCAATCCCAGGCTATTTCGTTGAAGACTTTGTGGACATGTTGTGCAATCAGAAACTTCATCAGTCCTGGGAGCTGCTCTTTCATCACTCTGTGGTGAGTGCACTGGCACAGGTACCACCAGGGAGCCTGGGGATGGGGGCTCCTGCTGTTTGTGAGGGGGTTTGCTGCCTGCTACAAAGTCTGATTTTATTTCCTGGGGAGAGGAGCCCAGACAGCAGGGCCTGGAGCTCCTCTTGGTCCTGCAGGATCTGTACTCTTAGAGGGTCTCCAGAAAGGCACCCAAAAATGGGGTGGTATTGGTGATGATGAGAGAGACAGGGAGACTGAGAGCTGGTCAGAATCCAAATTTATTGTGGACTACATATGCTTATATACTATTCTAGAAAGGCTAGTAAGTTTTTACTACAATGATTGGGTTCATCATCACATAAACAAACTTACACATTTTACAACATCTCTTGCTTGCAGAATTTGATGTAATTTTCTTTTCAGTCTGATTTAATTTTCAGCTGTTTGTTCTTGCCAAGGCATCCTGATTATCAAATATCTTATGCTAATCATGTCCAAAGTCCATCACCTGTCTTGTGTGTCCCAATAGGGTAGGAAAATATCTTATGCTAATCACGTCCAAAGTCCATCACCTGTCTTGTGTGTCCCAATAGGGTAGGAAAAAACATGTGTACAGAGAGTATGGGCTGATCCACAAGTGTCACTGGCAGCAGTGACCCCGGTGTCCCCTCTGGCACAGGTGAGCAGCTCACCTCCTGTGGCTCTTGCCCTCTTGAGCACCTGCCAGCAAGGGCTGCACATCCCCTCCATCCACCTCCCCTCCCGGGGTGCTTTCACCCACCTGGGCTGGTGTGGCTGGAGCAGCTGTGCTGCAGGACCCCACTCCAGTGCCCTCTGCCTGTCTTGCTGTGCCCTGTGTGGGTTTGTCTCTGATCACCTCTGCTGTCCAGGTGCCAGAGTGTTTTTCCCAACCCAAACAATTCTGTGATGCTGAGACTGTGGGTGCTGCAGGGCAGGGGGGTGGCACAGCCTGGAGCTGGGCAGTGGAGACGCTGCAGGGTTCAGGGGAGGCTCAGGGGTGTGCAGGGCCTGGGGAGGGGGACAGGGACAGGGACAGTGCTGGACTCACCTGGGATGAGAGGGGTAGTCAGACCTGCTCTGTCAGTGAGCCCTGGGGCTCTGCTGGCTGCTGCTGGTGAGCCAAAAATTCATCTCCACAATAGAGCTAATTCAAGCCAAGACAGTGATTTAACGGAGCAGATAATCTCATTACAGAGCCCATACAGAGAACAGCACTAATGGCATAAACCAAAGAAAGGACTGAGTGTGCTGAAGCGTGGGCAGGCAGAGCCTGTCCCCCTGCCTGGCAGGGAGGGTGAGGGGCAGGAATCCTGTCCCAAACAGCCTGGGGTGCTTCAGGGGGCTCTCTGATACACCAAAGCCACCTAATCCCTGCAGGGTGCCTGTCCTGGGGACAATCCCTGAGCCAGCAGCAGCCGTAGCCCTGGGCTACAGTATTCCTTCCTGTCCATTCACTGGGTGTGGAAAAACCTGCTGGGCCACAACTGGCTGCATTCTCCAGGCCACAACAGCAGGGTAGGTCAGGCTGCTTTGTCTCCTTAGCCAACCTGGGGCTCAAAGAGCTGCTTCCTTCTCTTCCCACTGGAACAAAAAAACCCACTCAGGTTTCATGCAATGGTGAGGAGGTGCCTGAGGCTGCAATGCCGCAGGGATGGCACTGCTGTGATGATCCTTTCCACCTCTACTCCTTGCTGTGCCCAAGGGGTTCTAGCTTGCAGCAGCTGGGAGCAACCAGCCCCTGGGCTAAGCCCCTCTTCTCCCTCCTCCCCAGGTGATCATCTGCTTTGGAATTGCCGTGCTGGTCCACCAGTACGTCGGCTTTGCCCTCGTGGCTTTACTGGTGGAGATCAACTCCATCTTCCTGCACCTGCGGCAGATCCTGCTCATGGCCAACCTGGTGCACACCACCTGCTACCGCCTCAACAGCCTCGTCAACCTGGGCACCTACGTGGTGTTCCGCATCGCCACGCTGGCCTGGATGACCCGCTGGCTCTTCCTCAATCGCCAGAACGTGCCCCCAGCCACCTACGCCGTGGGCACGGTGGGCATGGCAATCATGACGCCCATGAACATCATCCTCTTCTACCGCCTGCTGCGGAGCGACTTCCTCAAACCCAGGCGGGAGAAGGAGGAGCGGCGGGAGAAGGAGGAATAGCTCCTCCCCTGCGACGGGGGCAGCTCCAAGCCCGTGGAGCACCGGAGGGTGAATGTGGCTCTTTCGGTACCTTGAAAGGAGGGGCTGCACTAACAGAGCATCCAGGCTTTGCTTGTGGCTCAAGATCCTGGGCCCTGCACAGCAGAGAGGTGCTCGTGGACCAGGCACTGTGGCTCTGCTCCCCAAACACTTCTGGATGATGTGGTTGGACAGCTGGGAGGTGCTGAGAGAAGCCTCGGCAGCTCTCACAGCTCCCCGAGGCGCCACTGAGATGAGAAGGGGGCAGGGCAGCACTGTTTCCCCACTGCTCTTCCAGACATCCCGACACCACAGGGTGTTTCCAGCCCCTTTGGTGCTGCAGCCCCCAGGGTCCCATCAGCCACGGGACACCGACTGCTCTGTGGCATCTCTGTAGAACACCACCAGCAAGACAGGCTCCAAGGCTTTGCCTTCGAGGAGATGTCAGTGAAAACCAAACCCTGCACTGATGAGCCCTCCCTGAGGAGATTGTCCAGGCTGAGACCTGGCTGGGTGGGCACAGTGGGGTGCAGGTCGGGGGCAGCCCCAACCTCTCCTGACAACTGCGGCTTTTTCCACGTTGTTTTCTCCCAAAATAATTTAAGTGCCCATAAATGAGCGTGGGAGAGCGTGAGTGGCTGGCGAGAGGATTCTGTGTGATGGTCACTTCCCACAGATGTGGGGTTTTCAGGCACTTTTTAGGATTCAGGAATCTGTTAGGAATGCCAGGTTGTGCTGCAGAGCCCGGGGTAATGCTCTCACCCGGCAGCAAAGGCTCTTACTAACACGAGCTTTTAATAAATGGCTGCAAATGAAGTGGCTTGAGGGAAAAGGACTGAGAGGGGACAAAAGGACTCAGCATGCCAGCCCAGTCTGGGGGTGTCACTGCTGGGCACAGTCCGTACCCCATGTCTCCCTGCCATGGAGTGAAAATACACTGTACACTGGCACACTCTACCTCTCTTGTTGGGGTTTTTTGTCGAGGAAGATGAAGGTTTTTAAATGTTCTTCCACTCTACATTTCCTTTTCCTCACTGATTCTCACACTGGACTGCTCCCCAGCAGCCCAGCACTGTGTATATAACAGGATCATCCCACTTGGAGTTACGTGAACCAGTCTGGAGGAATCCACTGGCTCAGTCACATTTCCTTTGTGTAACAAATAAGCTTTAACACAACATCTCTCCCTTGGTTTGAAGAGCAGGCACTGCTCGGAGAGGATGGCACGTGTTCTGAGGATGGGGACACATTCCTGCTGGGCAGGGAAAGACGAGTGATCCATGGGCAGTGTGAGGCTGGAGACAATGCCTGGCCAAAGCTGCTTACATTTCTATTTGTGGAGAGCAGGGAAGCTTCCAGGTGCTGGGCACAACTACTCCAGGTTTGGATTTGTCACCTCAGGCAGTGCTGAGATGCCTGTGTGGCCCTCACACCCCCAGCTGGAGCAGAACTGTCACCCAGGGTTTTCTCTTTGCTTTGACCCACGTATTGCATAAAATTCCAAATTTTCCAGGAGCTGCTGCACTGATCCTTGCCCTTAGCACAGCCTCTGCATCTGCTAAAAACGCTGCCTCTGCCCACGCCCGGGGTGTTTCTCAAGGCCTGGATTGTGTCCCCACATTCCTGCTGTCACATGGATGTCCTGTACCCCAGGCACGTGGGGCTGGGGCCGGGGCAGCCTGCTCTGGGCTCCTCTTAATCCGCCGTGGTTTTCCCACACGGCTAAGGTGGGATAAGCAGTGGCTTTGCAGGTCACCGAGGGCAGACCTGGGGATGCCCTGTGCTTGTCTATCCCCATAGGAAGTGCCACAGCCTTGGCTTGAAAGGTTTTGGGAAGGACTCACCTCTCTATTTCCACCGTATAGGGGACCACAGGGTTTCAAGGAGCATCTCCATCAGGGAATTAATTGTTGGGGAGCAACACCCCGGCCTGCCACCCAACCATCCCCACTCCAGCCCCATCCAATATCCCTCCAGAACAAAGCCCTGTTCCCATGGGAGCCCCCACCCTGGCAAAACCCTAAGGCAAGAGCCTGCCCGGCTGCTGAGCGGCCCTGACAACACATTGAACCCACCCCCAGCGAGCTGGACCTCACCTTTTCACAGCTGCTGGGCAAGCACTGAGGGTTGGGGGGCGCTCCTGGAGAGAGGCAGGAAGAGCGCAACGAGGTGAGTGGCCCCTTGCTGGAGGATGGCAGCGTGGCCATGGGGCAGTGCTGGGGGTGAGCAGCCCCCTCCTGCCCGGGCCACCGGGGCTGGCTGAGACGGGCTCAGCGCACTGAGGGGATGTGCAGCCCCCGTGGGGATGTCCCCGCGCTGCTCCCCCGGGGACATCACCGGGATGTGTCCGGGATGTCCAAAATGTCTCCCTGAGGGCTCCCCCCGCCCCTACCACCCTTCGGGAGGGGGGGGCGAGACCCGGCCCGTGGCGCCCCCTGCAGCAGCGAGGAATGAGCTGCGCCAGGCGCCGCCCAATCAGAGACGGCGCCGCGCTGTCACCGCCGCCCCTCTCCGCCAATGGGAAGCAGCGGAGGGCGGGACCGGGGAAAGCGGGACACCGCACCGGAAGTGTGCCCTCAGACACAACTTCCTCCCCTTTTCCGCCTTCAGTCCCGCCCCTGCCTATCGGCACTCTGATAGGATAGCCCTGCTGTCTGTCAGATCTCCTGAAAGCTGATTGGGCATTCCGCGCTGCTAGTCACGCCTACATCCGGGTCTCGCAGGAGCGGTAGCGGCGGTGCGGCGCCGCCATTGTGGTGGGGGAGCGCGGGGGCCGCGGCTGCCGGTGAGGGCCGAGGGGGAGCGGCGGGCCCGGGGCGGGCCCGCGGCAGGCGGGAGTGACGGGGAAGCGACCGGCGGCGGCCTCGTCGTGATCCCGTACCTCACCCTGAGCCCTTCTCCACGCTCTCCGCAGTTGCGTCGCCATGGCCGCCGTGTTCCCGTACCGCGGCGGCTGCGCCCCGGTGCCCAACCCGCTGGCGCCGCTGCCCGACTACATGTCCGAGGAGAAGCTGCAGGAGAAAGGTGGGTACGGCCCCGGCACCCCGGATGCTGCGGGGGGGACAGGGCCTGACCCGCCGGCTCTGTGTCCCCGCAGCCCGCAAGTGGCAGCAGCTGCAGGCCAAGCGCTATGCGGAGAAGAGGAAATTCGGCTTCGTGGACGCGCAGAAGGAGGACATGCCCCCCGAGCACGTCCGCAAAATCATCCGCGACCACGGCGACATGACCAATAGGAAGTTCCGGCACGACAAGCGCGTCTACCTGGGGTAAGGGATCCCGGTGTGCGGCGGGGAGCTCAGGGGATGCGCCGCTGCTGCTGCCTTGGTGATTGTTGGAGGGACAGATCCTTCTCCAAAGGGCTCTCTGTGCCTGTTGTAGCTCGCTGAGGATGCCCTGAGGTGTCAGTGCAGAGGAGGGCTAGCAAAAGGAGTTGTTGCTTTGAATTTATGAGAAAAAACCTTAGCCTGGATAACGCATCATTGGAGGGGAAGCCCCTTCCCCAAAGGGCTTCCGGTGTCAGGAGTAGCTCTGTCTGCTGCTGTGAGGTATCAGTGCAAAAGAGCATCAGCAAAAGGAATTGTTGCTTTGGATTTAGGAGAAAAAACATTACCCTGCATAACACAGTGTCTTAGAAGAAGTTGGGGAGAGTGTGAAATGTTTTTTGAAAGATTAAAAAGCATCCTGAGTGCTTCTCTGCTGTTTGGGTGTAGAGAGCTGTTTAGTGCACATCATGGTCTGCTGCAGTAACTTACCATTACCCATAAAGCCTCCAGAAACTCACTTAAAAACTTCAGTTTTTGTTTGCAGCATTCCTGAAATCCAAATCACTAGAAAACCTTGTGATAGTCCAAAGGTAGAGTGGGAAATTCATGGATTTGCTTTTTGACCGTGGAGCAGCAGCTCACAGGAGGGAAAGCTGGGAGGTTGCTGGGCTCGTGGCAGGTGCTTGGCTGTCCCTGAGGTGCACTCCAGCGTGGTTTCCCTTGGTTTGTGGCTGCAGGGCTCTGAAGTACATGCCCCATGCTGTGCTGAAGCTCCTGGAGAACATGCCCATGCCCTGGGAGCAGATCCGGGACGTCCCCGTGCTCTACCACATCACCGGCGCCATCTCCTTTGTCAACGAGATCCCCTGGGTCATCGAGCCTGTCTACATTGCCCAGTGGGGGTAGGTGCCTTCTGCTTCATCCAAACCTTTTTTGCACCCACCATAAAATCCCCCTGGTTTTAACTTTGCCCCGATTTCCTGCAGCTCCATGTGGATTATGATGAGGCGGGAGAAGAGGGACAGGCGTCACTTCAAGAGGATGAGATTCCCCCCCTTTGATGATGAAGAACCCCCTCTGGATTATGCTGATAACATCCTGGATGTGGAGCCTCTGGAAGCCATTCAGCTGGAGCTGGATCCAGAGGAGGATGCCCCTGTGCTGGACTGGTTCTATGACCACCAGCCTCTGAAGGACAACAGGAAGTACGTGGCTGTGGGAGCACAATTCACTGGGAGAGGGGAAAAACAAACAGAGTGCATCAATTAGGTGTGCAGAGCAGTGTGTAACCTTTGTGTGGTGTTGGTGGGGAGAGAAAAACCTTCCCTCAAGGGTGGGAGGGAAGACCTGAGTGTTGGAAAGCTGCATCTTTTGCTTGCAGGTTGCTCAGAGAAGCTGTGGCTGCCCCATCCCTGGAAGTGATCAAAGCCAGGTTGGATGGGGCTCTGAGCAACCTGGGATGGTGGAAGGTGGAAGGCTTGGAACAAGATAAACTGGTTCCTTCCAAGCCAGACCATTCTGGGATTCCATGGTTCAGCATCCAGCAAGGCCCCTCTATCCAGGAGCCCTGTTACCCATCTACCTGCTAAAACTGATGTTTCTGACCATGCTGTAAAGCTGACAGCCTGCAGTCCAGCTGGAATTTGAGTTTTGCTGAAGGTGCACAGATGTTCTGTGTCAGCTGGGACACACAGGAGGAGAGGAGCTGGAGCAGCCAGCATTTTCAGGGCAGGAGGAGTCCAGAGTTGTCTTTAACAGTGCTGCAGCCTTTTTTCAGTCTATAGACATCCATGTGTTACCTGTCCTTGATGGGTGCTGGGTGGCAAAAGGTGTTTGGTGATTGTGGTGCTGTGGCTGTGCCTGGAGTGTCCCTGCTGTGCCTCCCCAGGTACGTGAACGGCTCCACGTACCAGCGCTGGCAGTTCACCCTCCCCATGATGTCCACCCTGTACCGCCTGGCCAACCAGCTGCTCACTGACCTGGTGGATGACAACTACTTCTACCTGTTTGACCTGAAAGCTTTCTTCACCTCCAAGGCACTGAACATGGCCATTCCTGGAGGTCCCAAGTTTGAGCCCCTCGTCAGGGACATCAATCTTCAGTGAGTGTTTGTGGCATTCGTGTTTTCTGGAAAAATCCCTTCACCCAGGATTTTTCTCCTGGGAAGCTGAGAAGCCTCAGAGAAAAAGGAAAACAATAATTATCTGATTTGCTTCTCCTGTGCTTTGCTCCTTTGGAATGTGTTTAGAGATTGTTTACCAACAAGTGGTTGTTTTATTAGTTTCTGCTGTAGGTTGTTGTCACTCTTTGGCCATTCAGTGCCAAGCTGTGTCAGGACTCTGAAAAGAGTCACAAGGTTTCATTATTATCTTTTTAGCCTTCTGTAAGTAGCCTTTCTGTATCCTTTAGTATAGTTTAGTGTAACATTCTTTAATATAGTATCATAAAATAATAAATTAGCCTTCTAAGAACATAGAGTCAGATTCACCATTCTTTCCTACCACAAGGGATCCTGCAAGTACAATAAATGTTGGGTTTAGGAGAGAGATGAGTGGTTATCTAGGAAAGGGCTGATGGGATGTTTTCAGTCACAAATGTTTGTTTCTCTCACCATGAATGCCTGCATAACCGTTTCTTGTCTCATTTTAAGGGATGAAGACTGGAATGAATTTAATGACATCAACAAAATCATCATCAGGCAGCCCATCAGGACAGAGTACAAAATTGCTTTCCCGTACCTGTACAACAACCTGCCCCACCATGTCCACCTCACCTGGTAAGAGCAGCAGCCTCCAGAGCCACGAGAGGAGGGAGAGGCTGTCAGAGGCTCTAATGCTTATTTTTTGTTGCAGGTATCATACTCCAAACGTTGTTTTCATTAAAACAGAAGATCCTGACCTCCCAGCTTTTTACTTTGATCCTCTGATTAACCCCATTTCACACAGACATTCTGTCAAGGTGAGTCACTGGGTTAACTGGGATAAACCCTAGGTGTGGAAGTAGGGGGCTTTAGTATCTTGCTTCTGATAGCAGCAGACAAACATAAATATTTCAGGAGAAGGCACCAGCCCTTTGACCAAAAAAAGCCACAGCTGTCATTTTAGTCTTCTACTTCTGGAGTTGCACAAAGTTGTCTCCTTTGGTTTCTGTAGGATAAAGCCCAATGTCTAATTAATAGTGTTAGAGTCTTCTGACAGACAGTTTATCTTTCTGTTTGCCCTTGTTGTGTTCGTGGAGCTGACAACTCCCTGAAGTTACTCCATGACACCTAACTCAGGGTCTAGTAGCCAGAGTTTGCCTTGTTGAGTGCTTTTTGCTTCTCTCATGCTCAGTACAGCCACACTTCTTCCATGAGAGCAAAGACATGGATTTTTAACTTGCTTAACTCAGAAACTGAGCTGAAGCAACCAGAAAACACCTTGTGTGGTGCTTCTGTGTTTCAGAGCCAGGAGCCACTGCCTGATGACGATGAAGAGTTTGAGTTGCCAGAGTTTGTGGAGCCTTTCCTGAAGGATACCCCTCTCTACACTGATAACACAGCCAATGGCATTGCCTTGCTGTGGGCACCACGACCCTTCAACTTGAGGTCTGGCAGGACCCGCAGAGCTCTTGACATCCCACTGGTCAAGAACTGGTGAGTTCTGTCCTGGGGGAAGGGCTGATGTAGGGATCATGACATTTTTACCTTGTTATAATGGAAATGAAGTAAAGACATTATGGTGGCTGGTTTCTAGAGATTTTAGGAGAGTTTCTGGGCACCTTTTTCTGAGGAATGTGAATTAGCTGA